AATTCTTTTGCATAGGCACTAGTTTGCTTAGAAGATGTTCCGATTTGTATTTTAACTTGATTTAACTATAGAATGTGATTAAGTCAGATTCTTCAGGTGGATTCTGAGCTGCTCTTGATTGTTTTAATCTTGGTCTATGAAGAAAAAATCTGCAATAGTGGTATGCATCTTTGTGTCTGGAATGTATGCTCCAGACATCACAATGTTTTGGGACAATCTTAATTAAAAATATATAACCAGTAAAAAAATTAAAGTATTTCTGGGCTGAGGTAGGTACTTCTTGTCCCTAAACCCAAACATTTGAGAGAAAGAATAATTACCATCTATAATTATTGATCTGAATTGTGCATTTTTGTTTGGAAGAATGGAGGGATGGAGAGAATATAAAAAATATATTATTACAATAGAAGCATGTTCCTTTTTGTCTTGAGGACAAAAAGAAAAATACCACTGATGTGGCCATTGTCAGTATCACATGAAACATGAAATAGGACTGGTGAAAAAACTGAACCAGCCTTTGTGATTGCTAAAGAATGAATATGTGTTTTCTCTTTCCGTGCAGCTGACTGATAAGGAGCTGATTCCTCCATCATGGCTACTGCCCTAGATACGGGTCTTCTTTCAGTCTGCTAAACAGCAACTCTTTAAAGGCAGTTAACTGTAGTCAATCAAGCATGTATATGATGCTATTTGAAACAGGAGAGGTTAAAACATTTAGTTAAAAATATTTAACAGGAGACTTTACATGTATATTTAAAATGTGGCAAAATATTTCATGTGACTAGTGGAGTCTTTAAACAATTTCCTAACTGTCTCCCAAAAATAAGATCAGTATTGCACCAGTAATAAATCTACTCCAAGGAGAAACACAGGAAAACCGGTTTGCTTAGAAGGCTGCCAGAGCATGGCATTTACTGAATCCCTCCTTCAGTTTCATAATGCAATACTTCTGTTTAATCAATTACAGCAGAGAAGGAAATGTAATCCTACCAATATTATTTCATTGTATGGTGCAAAAGGGGAATTCTACTCTGAACTGTATGCTGCATGACAAAATGAAATAGGATTTAACAGTGTTGTGACATAAACAGCTTTCATTTAACAACTAATAAACTGCTATTAACTTAAAAAGAGTCCTTCTACAATGTTTGCATTGCAGCATACTAGAGCACTCAGTCTGTAAGAAATAAGTCTGCTGACTCAATGCCACCTTACCAGTTGTCTGAAAAATAGACAATTACGTACATGATTTTTGAGGCACTAGCTTTTTGTAAATGATAGTATCAAAATATAACCAGTACAGAATGCTTCTCAAAATGCAATGCCAGTTTTTAAAATCTTACTTTATATTATTTATTATGTTTACATTCTGCTTTTCCTCCAAGATGCTCAAGAGGATGTATATGGACCTATGCCCTCACCCCGTTTTTTCTGGACTGCATATATGGGGGACAGGTTAGGCTTGGGAAGCAGGACTATTTCAAGATGGGAAGGTGGGAGAGGGGCTGTTGGAGAAGAAAAAGCTAATTTCCCCACATGCTGGGGTCTCAATGGAGTGAACAGCCTGCCATTCACATACTGATGTATATTTGTTAACGTGGTATATTATACTATAATAGTTCTTGTGGTTTGTTTGTTTGTTTTTTTATGAACACATATGTAAGATTGGATGCTGAACATGGCTGGAGTAGTGCTGGGGTAGGCATAAAAGGCTGGCAGAGTTCAGAAGGACCTGTCTGTTGGAAAGATTGATCATCTCAGCCAATAATTAAATCAATTCATTTAACAGTTGGACTTTGAAGTGGATACAGACAAAGATGAGGTGATATTGATGTCAGCATTTAAGTTCAAGAAGGAGGGTGCCATAGAAAGTTGAAATTATTTATGTGTTTGTTAATATTCTCTTGAAGAAAATAGGATATAAATTTAACTGATATAGCCGGCAAAGGATTCTGTAGCAATAAGTACAGTATGTCCATGCATGGGCGTATACGTGTGTGAGAGACAGACATGGTTTAGACATTAAGCATGTTCTTGTTTTCATCTGGGATGTTTTGAAGGATATGATCG